GTAGGAAATCACTTTGGCCTTACCCTCATAGAAGCATGAATAAAAAATGATGAAATTGAGTCAATGGCATACAATGGTATCACCAAGTCCAAAAGTGACTTAATATTTTGTATGGGGCTCCATAGAAAAAGGTACGTGGCAACCACATACCATGCACTTGGCTCATGCTATCTCCACAATTTTATAGGTTTTGAGAGCTCTGCAAAGTTTTACATGTTATCCTGGGTTTTGATAATGTAGCATGAGATTTTGGCAGATTTTCATAGACATTGATGGTGCCTAAAGAGGGGGTAAAAATACATGTTTTTGGTGTAAAAAGGGCATCGTACGGAACGATTTGGTAGGGTACTTTATATATAAGATATAATAGTTAACGGCGGCGGTCTGGATTTCTTGGGTGGTACGGTGGGGAGGGGTTTACTCGGGTGTACTGCACATGGGTATAAAGAAGTCACGGGTGCTGTACTCGTAGGTATCTCGGTGCGATGTATGCTGCTGTTTGCGATGTCGAGGGGTCGTCGATCAGGCAATCGATATGTAGGAGCCTATTTTCTGGATTTTGAAAGCAAGGCTACCGCACCATTCGGAGCAGAGCCCGGTTAGGGGTGGATTGTCTTCGCACCTTTGGGAACAGCCGCCGGCCGGGTTCGGGGGTGGAGAGAGTGTGATGACAATATTATTATAGCGCTACGATTCGGATATATAGATTTAGGGTGGGGGTTTGGGAATACTATGTGAGAAGGTACCATATTATCCTATCATATCCAGTTTTGATAATATCGTGGAAAGTTTGCCAAAGCTTAGGTCCAAGCTTGGATTTGGGTTTAACGGCAGAGGGCGTACCAGTTCTGTCTCTCTCTCTCTCCCTCCTCTTTTCCCCTCAATCGAAGGAAGCAGTAAGCGGGCAAGGCGATGGAGGTAGAGTGAGGTGGGACGGAAGGTAAAGTAGAGCACGCCGTGCGAGTAACTTTACACTTCAGATATGAGGGGTTTTATAAAAAAACTTGATACTGCTACTTGTATAGTAAGGGAAACCCTTGCGCATGGCGAAAGGCCACAGAGGGCGTGAAGGCATAGACGGCAGTGCTTGTGCAGTACAGTACAGTATAGTACAGTACTGCACTCACTGGGTAGACAGTGTATGCCGGGATAAAACGAATGATCAGGAAGGAAACAAACGACAAAATAGGCGGGAAGTGCAACCCGGCAAATGAGAGTTAACCCTGAAAACAGGAGAGGCAGACCCGTAAACAGGATAGAATTCCTTTCGGGAGGGTGCCTAGCTTAGCCGTCGACACCAGCACCACCCTCACCAAACCTCTTTGTAATAATCTCCTCCAAGGCATCATTAACCTCGTACTCCTCGACCACCGCTCCGAATCTAAATTAAGTCACCACACCAATTTGTTAGTGGAGGGGAAAAAAAACAAAATAAACAAGGCGTAACGGTATAGGGTTCTTCATGGAGGTGCCCCCCGACGGCTATAAACCCAGATATATATACGTATACGTACCCATGACACTTGACCTTGTCCAAGAGGGCCTCCTCGAGGGCCTTGAAGTCTGCCATTTCGAGCTCGGGAAACCTTTCGTGTCTCGTGACGAGAGCCCATACACTGATTTTCACACCACCCGCTCAGGTTATTTATTTATACATTGTGGAGGAAAGTCAACCGAGAGGTGAGAGTGAGAGAGTGAGAGAGAGTGTGAGAGGGAGAGAGAGAGGAAGAAGGAAGGAGAATTCCAAAAGATATCCCTTAATCTTTTGTCCTTGTTTTTTTTTTTGATTTTTTTGATTTTTCACTTTCTTCTTCGAAGAGATGGTTCCATTTCCAACGCCAAAGAAAAGAAAAGAAAAGAAAAATATCATAGGAAAGCACACGCACAAACTCCGCATGACGTGAGAAAATTGAAGTACAGGTGAAAGATGAGCGAAATGGAGAAATTAAGGCCGGGACGAAAAGGAAAGAATAAAACAATATATAACTTGAACTTACGCGATTGGCGTCAACTCTCCATCCAACTCAAGTCGATTGGACAGATTAAACAGAACTGACAATTCACTAGCCCCCACATCTAAAGTCTTACTACCCCATGGTATCTCGGCGTGGCGTAAAATATGGCTCTCAGGAGGACACGAGGCCATCAGTGCATGTCCGTGGAAATCCGCCGCAGAGCTCGCTGTGGCATTGGTAGTCAATATTTGGATGTGGTCCATGCACGGCTTCTCCAGACTATCCGTGTCTTAGCGGTTTACCGGTCAGCTTCTCCTTTTATCCGTACTCGGACTGGGAGAGATAAGGTCGTGGGGGGGGGGGGGGGCTTGGGCTTTACAGGACCGGGACGGGCATGCTCCTTCTACAAACAATACCGGGGGTGGGGGGCCACCATGGACCTACGATGTTGCCAGTGGACATACCGAGATAAACCGCACCACTGCTGGATTCTATCGAATGAGTCCGGAGTGGTACGGATTATTTCTGTACTCCAAACCGCAACACCGTACCATCCCCGCCCCATAATTTGGCATTGAATATATTGGGCTAAAAACAAAAGAGGGGGGAAAGAAAGAATCGAGAAAGGAAACGAGCAATAATAAAAAATACAGAGCACCACGGGAAGAACAGGGAGTGCTTACGCCAGGACAAAATCCATTCCAATCTCGTCATAAGATGACCCGAATCTCGCCACCTCTGTTGCTTGATGGTACTCATCGTGTCGTGGTTGCTGTCCAATGTTTGGGGAGACGTTTTGAAAATTGTAGGGAATTCCGTGAGCATCGAGGATAGCTCTCAGTCGCCTATTCTCTTCCGCCATAGCAGTCTTCTCTTTGGTGATCATGGTGAATGCTTCTCGCAGACTGGATAGGTGTAAGGCTTCGCTATATTCCATCTCCATGGAAGTGGGGACGTACCGAGCAACCTCCTCCTCGATCGTTTTGATATACCGTTCCTTTCGCTCGCGGTGTGTCCTGAAGAGTGAGAAGGCCGGTGGTTAGCAGGTGTTGGACCCGTGTTTGTAGGTGCTTCAAGGAAGGAGGTGATTGCTTGGGGATTGAAAGTAGGGAAATGCGGAAAACTAGGGGAAATTTATACGCCCAAAACACACCTTTGCGCTTGCCTGTTCAGCTCCTGGCGCCTTGTCAGAGCGGGTTTTGAGTCTGGTTTTGGCCCGCGGCGCTTTGGTTTCTCGCCATCTGTGTAGCAACCCGCATTATTGGTAAGCTGGCAAATACTTTTGGGAGAAAATAGCTATCCATAGCAATTTGTGGTGTCCGTGGCCTTTCGTATGCAGAGACATTCATTATAAAGTAAGAGTGCAATAGATCTCCAGGCATTGGAATAATTTGGAAGAGCATGCGCATCTCGCCGATGCAACTCTAACAAGGAGGCCTGGGACGCAACTGGGGATTTGGGAAAGAGAGTAGAACAGTCAGGACAACGAACCCTTGTTCCGCGATGACCCAATCTTAAAGAGCTCGAAGTTAAATCTGGATGAATAGGATCCTTCTGAGCCTGTAGGGAGGGGGTTTTCGCCATTAGCAAAAGCTTTATTCCGGCTCTCCCTTTCCACCGAACCGCCCCGGGAGAAATATCTTCCCGAATGCCAGAATAAAGAACACAATTCCCTACTCACGTTCTGCAGGGCTTGCGCTGTCCGAGCCCGGAGATTTCGACTGTGTAATGTCGCGCACATGGCCCTGTATGTGAGGGGGA